TAATTTGCCTTTTCCCTTACTCTCTCTCTCTCTAATGAAGATTTTTTTTATATTCTATGCTGTTAGGATAATATTTCATATATATATTTTTTATTTTTTTATTAAAACTCTTTGTTTAAAAGTCAAAATTTCAAGGCATCGATTCTGTAGTTGTCATGTGGGTGTGATTACGAATAATCATGTCAACCTGAGCATTGAAGAGTATACTTCATATCATTAGCCTTTGTTTCCTTCAATGCATCGATCACGATAGGACTAGAGAGAGAAACAACCATCAACTCAGAAGTTGGGTTGTATTCAATAATATCAAGAATCTCACATCTAGTTTTTTTCAAAAACAACTGGAAAGAAAACGAGGGCGTCCTGTTTTTTATATGTATTTTGGTAGAACATCACGCAGAACTTTACATCAACCATATATTTCTATGCACGTCGCCGACGTGCCATCGCTTTCTTCCGAGCCATCTTCCTAAATTCTAAAATATCATCATCCTCTTACCACACAAGTCAACTTTGTAACCACCACGTCCCTTCCTTTGATTTTCCCTCCACCCTCCTCTTTATAAATGTATTGGAGTGTAGCTATAATTGTTTTTAAATTTTTTAATTAAAAAATATATTAAAATAATAATAAAATATTAATTTCAAGTAAAGAAAAAAATAACTTTTTTTAATTTTTTAAAATATTTTTAAAAGACAAAAACAAATAAAATTTTAATCCCAAACATTTCACATCACTTGCCTCCATTATATACTAAAATATTTAATACAATTCTCCACTTACAAAAGTTGTATGTTATTCTTCATTAAATGTAAAGTAATATGCTTACCGACTTAAGGGGTATTTTGAGAGTGGGATAATAATAATTTTTTAAAATATTTTTTGTTTAAAAATATATTAAAATAATATTTATATTTTATATTTTTAAAATCATTGTTGATATTAGTTAGCACATCAAAACAATTTAAAAATATAAAAAATTAATTTTAAATAAAAAATTTTAATTATTTTTTAGAAAAACATGATTTAAAATGCAGTTCCAAATAGCTAGTCGACCAATTCCCTTATGATTTTAATAATTTTGAAAGAAAACTCTCCGAATCTTACATAAAGGGGCAGGTTGGAGTTTAATGCGCAGAAGTCAATATATATATATTGGCTTTAAATATCCTGCTTTTAGCTTAAGCAGAATGATTAAAAGGGTTTAATTATATATTTAATTCTTCAAGCTTCTGTTTGGACCTGCAAAGAATTAGATTTCCTTTAGGGTCGACTAAATACGCGGGATTTGTTAAGGGCAATTCAGCACTTACAATTTCTCCGCAAGTAGTGTTATAGCACTTTGAAAACAGCCTTCTCCAATATAGAAGGCTGCCATAGTGACCATACCAAGTACCCAAAAAATTATGATGAATCCAACACCATCTTTCTTCTCCATCTCCGCAATCTTGATTCTCATGTTCATGGCGGATAGCATTTCTGCAACTCGAATCTACTCATCGATGGCTTTACCAAATTCTCATCAAAGTGGCGAGCTGACAGGCAATAAGCCAGTAAAGATGCGCGAGGTCGCATTTCATGTTTCTTTCAAGGGTCGTATGATCCCGCCGTCGGGTCCAAGTCATAGGGGTGATCACACAAA